GCAGCGCCTAGCAGGACACAAATTTATTTGTGTACTGGACTTTGCAGCAGGCTTTTATGCGATCCCGGTAGAAGAAGAAAGTCAACCGTTTTTGTGCTTCTACACAGAAGGGCGTGGCTATGAAGCCTATCAACGCATGCCTATGGGAATACATGGTGCGCCATCATGTTTTAGTGATCTGACAGCACAGGCACTACATGATATCATCATAGAATTGCTCCTCGAGTTATACGTGGATGATGGAGCCATGGCGGGCAACATTTTTGAGGAACTATTGAAACACTTACGTCTTTTTCTCCTGCGGTGTCGAGAACGGGGCCTATCTATTTCGCCAACCAAGACACAGCTGTTCATGGAAGAAGTCGTCTTTGGAGGATCGCGAGTCGGACAGAACGGCATCTGCCCGGATGTAGCAAAGATCGCAGCAGTAGCAAATTGGCCTGTCCCAACAAACCTGTTAGAACTGATGCGCTTCTTAGGCCTCACAGGGTACTTTAGGTCCCTCATCAAAGACTACGCGTGCCTAGTACTACCACTGACAGACCTACTGCGGAACTTAGACCTCCCACCCCCTAGTGCAAAAGGGGGGAAATGCAAGTATAAGCAATACTTACGGGAACGCAGTCTGGACACGTACTGGGAGCAAAGGCACACAAGGACATTCCTTAGACTCAAGCAGATCCTGGTATCAGAACCGATTCTGCGCGCACCCAAGTTCGATGGAACACCCTTCATTATCATTAGTGATGGGTGCAAAGACGGGTTCGGAGCCATACTAGCACAACAGTTTGCTTCACAGCGTCCATCAGGCAAGACCGTCAACAGCATTCACCCAATCGGATTCGCATCTAAATGCACGTCACCGGCAGAAGAGCGCTACCAACCATACTTACTGGAATTTGCCACACTAAAGTTCGCATTCGACCATTTCGGGCCCACAGTATGGGGATTTCCAGTAGAGGTAGAAACTGACTGTACTGCGCTACGGGACACATGCTCCTCAGTGACAAACTTCCACTGGTACACGCACATTGGCAAGAAGGAATACTCGCGTACCAGATAACAGCAGTTTGACACTGCCCAGGAGCAACTAACACAGCAGCAGATGCTCTAAGCTGCCATATGTCAGGACGCCCTCGGATGGATGGAGACGGAAGTGTGTGGTCCATCAGCGAAGATTGGGAAACAGCCCACGGCCTGGTGAATGACCTCCTCCTTTTACAACCCACTGATACAGCAATTTCAGAATTACAGGAACACTTCAAACAAGAGCCTCTATTCCTGGAAGTTATAGAAGTGCTATGCAACTTGGATGGTAGCAAGTCCAATCGCGAGCGTCGTAGAGCACAACATCATGTGCTAGGGTACATGATTGAGGAAGGGCATTTATGGCATATAGCAGATGGTAAATCCATGTGAGCGTGAGCACGATTGGAATGCGTATCACAACTGGAAGCAACAGAGATGGTGCGACAAGTACACACCACCAATGGTCACTGGGGTAGGGACCTCACCAAGCTACAACTGATGGACCACATTGTCAGCCCTAGACTGGACAGATCCATTGTGAACGCACTGCTGGAGTGCCCGCAATGCAAGAACTTCGGCTCCACACAGCTACACTCACTTCTGTACCCCATCACTCGACGCCACCCCTTCGAACTTCTAGTAGCCGACTATCTCGCTCTCCCAAAAGGCAAAAACGGGTATCATAACGTCCTACTAATCCTGGACACATATTCACAGTACGTTTGGGGATTCAAGCTGAAAATCCACGGCACAGCAAAAACAACAGTAGATGGACTCAATGCCATAGCACATACCTTTCGGGCCCCTGAAACATTCATGACTGACGGCGGCTCACACTTCGATAACAGAAGTGTACGCAAGTGGTGTACAGCGCATGAGTCCAAGCATCATGTTGTCGCCGCATATGCACCATGGATCAATGGTCTAGTAGAAAACTGCCAACTGGGAAACTTTTGGGGCGCTTAAAATGGTTGTGCAGTCCTGGATTGGGGGAGGATGAGTATGACAACATGGAGACAGGGAACTTAGCCAGATCATGGCCAGATCATTTTGACACTGCCGTACGCCAACTGAATGAACGCATCATCCCCGCCTTCAAATTCTCCCCCAAAGAACTCCTACTGGGTCTTGTCGTCAATACCAAACCGACCCCAATAGCAGATGCGTCAACGGAACTGAACGTTTCAGAAGTTGATGTCCATATGGCATACGTGGATCAACAGCGTTTGGATGGCGCAGATCATACAGCGGCGCACGACGCACGACGCAAAGCCGCATTCGATCGCAAGGTTCTCCGTTCGCATACAGGTGAAGTCATATTCGAAGCTGGACAACTCGTACAAGTCTATGCTAATGCATTAGAATTCACACTGGCGTCAACATGCAAACTCCAACCACGATGGTCAGCCCCACGACGAGTTGTCGATCGAATCGGCAACTCGTATACGCTAGCCACCTTGGAAGGTTTTCCGCTCAACGGATTGTTCCACGCCAGACACTTGCGAAGATTCATCCCGCGTGATGGCACAGCACTAGCTGAACTACAAGCAGTGCTGGGAGACATGAGTGAAGACGACGAAGCAGAAGTCAACATGGAGTGGGAGGATGAGCGTCAAGAGTTTGACATGGAGCTAGGAGATACAGATGACTTCGAAGAGAACAGCGAATAAAGCCTTGTGCGCCCCCGGAGGGTCGCATTCCTGGGGGGGGTACACATAATACAGTAACATATACCCGTCTCAGACGGGCAGCCGGGCGTGACAATGTACTGATAGAGACGGGCCATCCGGTGTGGGCCGGTGGCAATAATTGTACCGTGATAGACGAGTGGGCCGAGGGTGTGGTGTATCCGAGGCAAACGGATGGGCCGGGGGTATATAGTATGGATGGTAATACAGGAATGTACTATATAGGATATCAACAATAGTAGTGAATCCAGTGGGATAGACGAGTGGGCCGGAGTAATGGAGTGCAATGTAAACGAGTGGGCCGGTAAAGGAGGTAAAATGGAGACGGGTGGGCCGCGTGATAGGGCCGGTAAACGAGGTGCGTTTGAGACGGGTGGGCCAGTAAAGGATGTGCAATTGAGACGGATGGGCCGGAGGTGCACTTGAGACGGATGGGCTGGTAAAGGATGTGAAATCGAGACGGGTGGGCTGGAGGTGCAATCGAGACGGATGGGCCGGTAAATGATGTCCAATCGAGATGGGTGGGCCAGACGTGCAATCAAGATGGATGGGCCGGTATAGGATGTGCACTCGAGACGGATGGGCCGGTATGGGACGTGCAATTGAGACGGGTGGGCCAGTAAAGGACATCCGGTCGAGACGGGTGGGCCGGTATAGGACGTGCGAATTGAGACGGGTGGGCCAGAGGTGCAATTGAGATGGATGGGCCGGTATAGGACGTGCGATTGAGACGGGTGGGCCGGAGGTGCAATTGAGATGGATGGGCCGGTAAATGACGTGCAATTGAGACAGGTGGGCCGGTAAAGGACATCCGGTTGAGACGGATGGGTCGGTATAGGACGTGCGATTGAGACGGGTGGGCTGGTATAGGATGTGCGATTGAGATGGGTGGGCCGGAGGTGCAATTGAGACGGGTGGGCCGGTATAGGACGTGCAATTGAGACGGGTAGGCCAGAGGTGCAATTGAGACGGGTGGGCCGGTATAGGACGTGCAATTGAGACGGGTGGGCCGGAGGTGCAATTGAGACAGGTGGGCCAGTATAGGACATGCGATTGAGACGGGTGGGCCGGAGGTGCAATCGAGACGGATGGGCCGGTATAGGATGTGTGATTGAGATGGGTGGGCCGGAGGTGCAATTGAGACGGATGGGCCGGTAAATGACGTGCAATTGAGATGGGTGGGCCGGTATGGGACATCCGGTCGAGACGGATGGGCCGGTACAGGACGTCCAATCCAGACGGTTGGGCCGGTAAAGGATGTGCACTTGAGACGGATCTGCATGATCACCAGTAGATGCATGATATCCCATCCGGTACAGAAACACTCCTTAGCGACTGAAATGCAGGCTATGCAAGTCAACTGTGCGATTATCTCATAAGTGATCTTGCTCATTGAAAGCGCACAATGTTGAGAGCATAATAGACTACTAATACAGATGAAAACATGAAAAATATGTAGTAGTATTACTTCTCCGTATCACCGGAAAGCTTCTTAGCATGCCTAGCGCTCGCCGACCGACCATGTTGGAGGGATAGAGGTCCATATCGTTGGCGTGGCAAAGGAGCCGAGGTGGACTGACCATTGTCCAGCACATTTGATGGCCCTCCGGTGATCAATGCGTGAAGGGTGCCAGGTGAAGGCATGGACCCCACCGGGAGAATGAGAGGTGGTACCGGTGGTGCATCACCCGGAGGAACAGATGGGCCGGATACTGTCGTGGTGAGTGCCGGGTTGATGGTGGAAGTGGATGGCACCCGTGCTTGTCTTGCGACCGGTGAGCCATCTTCAATGCCAATGAGATCACCACCGGTCTGGGCGCTCATCCAAGATGCATCCGGAGTGAAGACATCGTTGGTCAACTGTGCGACCGAATGCACTGATGGATGGGCCGGCGACAATGGGGGGTGGATTGAATGCCGGTGGGGTTGTTGCCGTCCCTTCATCGGACCTATCCCCCCTCATATACCTCACAACTGCTTGAAGTTGGACGGACAACTCAGTTATGAGTCTCTGGTGCGCGTCCACATCCCCCTGTATCCGGTCGATTTGCACGGTCATGGCAGCATCCGATCCTTCGGCGACTTCGATGCGACGCTCCAGGTCATCTTGCCGGACGTCAACTTCCATCCTATCGCGTGTCCGGAGTGCCTCCATATCGACGCGAATCTGGGCCAACATGGCCTCCATCTCCTCATTAGCGAGAGGGTGCTGGATGGATAGAAGGGACCCAGAAGGTGCGATGGGGGAGAGTGGATGATGGACCGGAGGGATGGGTGAGTCCCGGATGTCGTCCTCTGGGGCCATAACCGGTGGTGGAGGTGGCATGTCGTCAGTGCCCGGTTCAATCCAGTGGTCTGCGGGGAAATCGTCTACTGATGCGAGAGGCACCGGTTGTGGTGTGGTACCGCCGGTACCAGTCACTTCCGGAGTGTCATCGATCATCCGGACGTCGTCATCCTCTTCCTCTTGGATGGGACTGGGATGTCGAATATCCCTGTCTACAAGGGCGAATGAGCGCCGGAAACCTACGACCGGAAACAAGAGACTTACCTTTGCCTTTGGATGACTGCCCACCGGTCTTGCTCTGTCCGGTGGTCTTTGACCGGCTTGTCTTGGAGCGAGTGGTGACGGCTCTTGCAGGTGGTGTAGCGGCAATGCTGGGGGTGATGGTGGTGACAGCGGTGCTGTCCGCGGACACTGGGTCGGGCCTGATGCATGCCATCTTCCACTGATGGCACAAGGTGCAACTCAGGCCAACCTCACCTTTCTTCGTCAACCGCGGGATGCACTGCACATGCTTCGACCGGCATCTCTCGCAACGAGGTAAAGGTCCATTGACGTCCGGCTATGACAAATTAGTATAGTAAAAATGATATTGACCGGACGTCTCACCGGTTGTTGGCCCTTGCCCTTCTTGCTGTGGTCCTTGCCCATGGGACGTGTAGACTAATGAAATATGTTAGCCATATGAATCACCGGTGCGATGAGAAGTAAAACCTACCGGTTTGTGTTGTTTCCCCGGCTTGACGGTGGCCTGCATCAGGATGAATGAGCCACCGGTAAGAATGAAAATGATGAACATACCTTTCGCTTGCCTTGGGTATCATCACCCTCCAAATCATCGTCGTCATCTTCCGGAATCTCATCCGTCTCACTTCCCTCCGGTGCAGCGCCCTTGTTCTGTGGAAGGACAAGTATGTCCGGTAAATTTTGTCAGTCGATAGCGACTGTGTTTGAAGGCAATGAAGACTTACCTTGTGTTTGGAGGGGTTGCGTGTCGACTTCTGGTGCTGGTTGCTATGTCAGTAATGTTAAGTGAAAGAGAAGGAAAAACTTGCCTGGACGACCGGAAGATCATCAACATCAGTCGCCATCTCCTCATCCTCATCCTCATCCTCATCATCTTCCGGTACCTTTGCCTTTGCCTTCTCTTTCCCTTTCCCCTTCCCCTTTGCTTTCCCTTTGTTCTTCGCCTTCAGCTTCACCTTGTCAGAGTCAGTGTCGGACAAGACTTCCCTTGACTTGAGGAGACGCTTCCGGGCCCTCTTGAACTGACGCACAGGGGGACTAGTACTGAGTTCTCGCTTGCGCGATTTGGAGGGTCCGGCCGGTCCAGTCGCACCGGATGCTGTATTTCCGGGGATGCGAATGCTGAAACGGTGCCGTAATGACTGACCGGAGGATGGAACAGGCTGAGGTGCAGGCGCCGGTGATGGGCCTGGGACTGGAGGTGGGACTGGTGCTGGTGCTGGTGTCTTTGAGGGCGTTGGTGCCAGTGCAGGTGTGGTGACCGCTGGTGCAGAGGCTGGGGCTGGGGCCGGTGCAGGTGCAGGTGCAGGTGCAGGTGTGATGACCGCCGGTGCAGCACCCAATGTCTTACCATACAATGGATGCTTCATGCACATCTCCTGGTTGTGCCCAACGCGGTTCCAGTCCGGGACTTCCGCCAGTTGAGTGGTGCGCCTCTGAGCACGAAAGATCTCAGCTGCCATGGACAGCAGGCGAGGGGGGATGTAGGTAGCGACCCTCCCATGCGAATGAATCGCGTCATTCTGAGACCCTGGTATCAATACAGGCAATACACAGAAGGACATCAAACATACCACTTCACGAGCAATCTTCCGGCTCAATCCCATTTTCTCTTCCTCCGACTGGGACCGGAGCACCTGTTCAGCCATCTCATTGAGTCTGGCGATCAGAGCGATGAGCGCCTGGTTGGCAGCGGCAGCGGCAGAAGCAGAAGCAGAAGTGGAGTTGGATGACATCTGGGTAGTTAGAAAATTGCACTGGCAGATGGATGAGCTGAGTATTGAGTGAGAGCAAGTGAAAAAGACACCCGGAAGCGACCAATACAAACACTTGTGAAAAATTTTCATCACCGGATGCCCGGGCCATTGTTGCCACGTCATCATTATCTATTTTTAGCTACTTATTTCTCATTGTGTGGATGCTATTGTTGACACGTCATCTTTATCAAATTATCGCCAGCAGAGCATCCGGCTACAGTAGAACACATTCATTGTTCCGGTGATCGCATGAAGAACATCAATTTAAAGAAGGCACCCAACACAAGGAAGAAAACCATGTCATCCTCGGCGATTGCGCAAGAATATTTACAACTATCTAGTGAGGATGAAGGTGAGAAATCATTGCCTTTGGGAATGTACCTGTTGACATTATCCGGCATACTAGTATTTGACTTATTAGAGCCGGAACACGAGGAGCGCACTTACAACGACCCTTTGATGGATTGTTCAAGCATGGCTGAATGTGAGTTTTATCTCATTCCGGCCTGTCACACTGACAATTGATATTTGTCTTGGAGATTTAGATATCCTGTCAGCTCATGACCGGTGGAAGGATGGTAAAACATTGAAGATGTTGGAGATGACCGCCGAGGAGCGCCGGTCATTAGACATGGGATTTCCATTGTCTGATGATGACCAGATGTCTGACACTTTGGACATGCAATTCCCCACACTGTCTGACGACGACCGGTCATCCAACATCGCACCCGCACCGGAGTTACAGGAATATCAGATGTTGGACCTGGGATTTCCTCCGGAGTCAGAAGCGTTAGACATGGAATTCCCACTGGAATCAGACGATGCACTGGACATGGAATTTCCTCTGGAGTCTGACAATGATGTATTTGACATGGGATTTCTACCCGAATCCGGAGATGATGGACTCTCCCTTCACCCGGCAAACTCTCTGCAAGTCAGTCATCCGGCCGGTAACACAGGTACGGTGCTAGACTATATCTAATACATCAACTTGCTCATTTTTCAATTCAATCCATGATACTCAATTAGAAGGCAGCCCTCTGGAGATGGGTTTTGACACAGATCCGGTAGATCATGTTCCGGACATAGGGAACAGTATTCAACCGGTAGAGAGCCCCTTGGAGATGGGTTTTCAAGCGGATCCGGTCAATGAGTTTCCGGATCAGTCATGTAAGTCTTCATTTTGTCAGATATTAAATGATTAATCACCTGCATTCAGTAGCCGTCAGTCAACCGGATCCCATTGGGTTTGTTATTCAGCGGGCGGTAGGTGATTTGCAGGTTGCAGTGCACCGGTTGGAGATGGACAGGGATGGTGGTGCAATTTCGCCGGAAGAGGCCTTTGCAAGGGAGCAAGTCCTTGGGTTCACTCGAGACTTATTGCTGGCATGTCAACTGATATCGATACCTCAACTGTCAACATGATGTATCTATCCGGTCAAGCACTATCTACACCGATCTACAATACTTGTAATATAAAATGTCCATCTATCCAAATCATTACCTTTGCATATAGTGAGCTTTATAAGATGCCTTTGCATTTCTACTGGAGCGTTTTGGCTCCAGATTGGTAATGTGGGCTTCCTGTCCTGCAGTTTTCTTGCCGGTGGCCTTTGGAGGGGAAGGAGGTGTTGGTTCCGGCACCGGTCGCTTTTGAATTTTCATGGTCCGGACACCTGATGCAGGACCAAATGAGCGACTTGTAGATGCATGGTGTGAGGGCAGTGGATGACTAGAACTGGTACCGGTATTGTCTTCTGATGGTCCATTGCCCTTGACAATGACTTTGGATTTCTTTACCGGTGGGTGAGAATCCTGCTGCTCCGATTCAGATTGCACCGGATGAACCGGTGCTGATGAGACTTCATTGCGCCTGACAGTCACCTTGGATTTCTTGACCGGCAGGGGAGAATCTTCCGGCTCTGAATCAGATTGAACTGGAGGAACCCTGCTCCGCTTGTTGGTTGGGTGAGACTTTGAAGGTGGCGATGGGACTTCATTGTGCCTGACAATCATCTTGGATTTCTTGACCGGCGGGCGAGAGTCTTCTTCCTCTGAATCAGATTGAACCGGAGGAACCCTGCCCCGCTTGTTGGTATGTTTGGACTTTGAAGGTGGACATGGGAGAACTTCTTCCTCGTCTTCTTCATCGTCTTCATCTTCTCCTTCTTCCTCCTGCTCATCTTCTTCTTCCTTGTCTCCTTCCTCCTCCTCTTCATCTTCTTCATCTTCTTCTTCATCACCCTCATCCTCACTACTTGACTTCTTTTCCTCCCTCCTGCTCGCCTTTCCGGTTGACTTTTTGACCGGAACCCTGGTCTCTGCTGCGGATTGTCTGAGTCCGGTGTCGGAATCCTCGCCCGAGATTGTTTCTACCGGTTCTCTCATCTTCTTATCGTGGCCTTCCCAGGCTTTGAATTCAAAGGTTGGGCGAACCTTGTCCTTCTGTCTCTGACACCAGAACTCTAAGAGCCGGTCGACTTCAACTAACTGAAGCTTTGAAGGTTCCTTGATCTTGCCACCGGTAGGTAAAAACTTTGCCTCAACGAAGTTACCCTGAGCATACATCACTGCGGACCATGGCACAGATGCCTTTGCCCTTTGGCTGCAAAACCCTGAAAAATAGCTGGTCAGTTGATCAACACTCCAGATGCATGATTTGTGAAACTGACTGTAGTGTTTTGTGAGGAACGTCCGGATGAGATGTTGCTTGCTCTCTAAGTTAAGGTTCTGAACGTCCGGTATTACCGGAAGCCCATAGGTATCCACCTCCAAAGGATAATCATCCTTCTTTCCCCTTGGCTTTCTGCTCTTCTTCCCATCCCCCTCGTCGTCGTCGTCATCTTCATTCTGGTCAACTCCTGGTATCATCCCCAAGTGTGATAAGTGCCTGATTGAATGATGCAAGATTGTGGAAAAAGAAGCTCACCGAACTCTTCTCCAGCATAGGCATTCCACTCTGATATCATGGGCTTCCAGTCCTTTGTACCTGTAAAACTATTGCCCTCCAACTTTTCATTGAAGTCAATTCTTCCAACCGGATCAGGCGATCTTTACCGGTTGAGGGTGAAAGTAGAACTCACCCATTGATCCTCACTTCGCCTTCCTCCGTTTTCCACGCGGACAATATGAATATCCTCATACCGGCGTGCCTCCATAACTGAGTCGCCAGGTCCTTCATCATACCGGGTGCTTTCTTCTTTGCAAACTCGGCCTGGACCTCTGTAGGAGGACCATCGCTAGACCACTCTATCGCAGTCTGCTTTGCTTCCTTCAGCTGCTCTTTTGATAGACTGGCCATGACTGCAGTGAGGGTTGGCTGGTATCTTTTGATGAATTCCTCCGATCCAGGCCTTGCTCCGGTCTTTTCAATGATCTCCTCCTTGTGCTGCTGTTCTATCACCGACCGGGCATTCCATTTCTGACCCAACTTCTTTTTGCGAGTCTTTTCAGCTCTCCGGTTATAGAACCACTCCCGGTACATCTTGATCCATCATGAAAAAAGTCAGCAGTCATGTATAACATTAGAAGATCAACTGCTCACTGTTTTCCTCTTCTTCAATAACTGGGCATGCATAGCAGGGGCATGCACTTTGGCCTCTTTTGTGGCCGCCTTCAGAATGACTTTTCTATCCTCAGTGGCTGCTTCCTTCCATTTTTCTAGGTGAGATTGTAAGACCAGCACCTCTTCCTCCGTCAATTTTTGCTTCTTAGTCTTTTCTGGGCTGTCCACTGATGAGTTGGATGGGGGCATTGCAAAGTAGTTGAAGGGTTGGTAGACAAAAGCATGTATGTGTATCGCACAGTATTAGGTCACTTAAGCAATGTACCTGACAGCAAACCGAACAAGAGATTATCTGCCAGCGAGTCAACACTCATTTATTGGCATGATACCCTCAACATCTCATGTGTTTCCGGTCCATATAATTTAGAAATGTAAAAACACACAGACTTGGACCTTTATCATATAGTATACGAGCAGCATACAGCTATACCCTCAAACATTGCATACAGGCCCTATTCAGCTATACCCTATGACTTGCTCGAGTAAGTGTCATCACAAATGACTTTGGAGGCCAGCATGAATGCAGATACATACAGCCAGTCTCCTGAACATCCCCCGGCAGTGCTTCAAGTGCTGGAGGAGGACAAGAGCAGCAAATGTGACAGAGCCATGCGGTTTGGTGTGGTGCAAACCATAGGCAATGAAATGTTGCAACTTGACTTGAGAATTCAAAGATGATAGGGGATACTGAGGACAAGCAAAGAGATGAATAATAAAATATGTGCACAAATGAGAAGCCTGTTCATGTCCATAGAATGGGTTATTTGGTTTGAAGTGTTCCCTTGGAGCATGTTTTACGATGCCAGTGTCCTCACTGAAGTTCATGCAATGTGTTCATATCGTCTCACATACATCATCTAACCGGGAAGTATAATTTTCTGGCAGTGACACTGAATGCCATAATCCATCAATTATTGTTGTGATTGCCTACATGCATCCTCTAACTCATACCTACCGCTTCAGCCTGAGCTCCTGTTATAATACCTGAATTACTTCTGAGACCAACACCCAGTGACACTGAGTAGAAAGAAGTATATGTTACTGCCGGAGCCTCTTAATCTTGAACCTTGAAATGTCACCGGTGACTCCAACCTATATATATCCTAAATGGAGAGATATTTTGGGACTTCATTATCCTTTATGGTCATATGACAATGATCCGGTTGGATTATCAAATCGGTCCTTTGCTCCGGTAGGCACATGACTGTTGCTGAATGACTAACAGCAAGGCAAAATATCCTTTATAGTAATATGACACCAGAACAATGATCGGTTGTATTATAAAATCAGTCCCTTGCTCCGGTAGAACTTCACATCAGGTTGCTGAATGACTAACAGCAAGGGGATATGTCCTTTATAGTAATATGACACCAGAACAATGATCCGGTTGGATTATCAAATCGGTCCCTTGCTCCGGTAGGCACATAACTTCAAATCTGGTTGCTCCATGACTAAACAAGAGAAAATGAGCTGATGCCGACGGTTCGGAGTTGATGGAAGCACGATCCAGTGGAGTCGAGTACCTCCCAGTCATCAAGCCTAAGTGCACTCCCTGGTTCAACAATCCTTTCCGGTGGTGGTATCAATATGGCAAAGACTAAACAAACAGGAATCACATACACTCCTCCCATGAAGAAACGATTGCCTCAGCTGTATAAGCTCAAGGAGAAAACTACAGCCAGAGGATCCAGATCATCTTGGGTGAAAGACTCATGGTCTCCGAAAGCAAAGTCGGTAACATCATTGC